AGCTCATGAGATTTTTGCTACCAAACACAAAAACACATGCATACACACAACTACACAACATGATCGCCTTTCAATGCAGTGGACAATAACACAAGTGGTCCCTAAACTGGTCCCCATGCCTACACTTGAAGTAACTGGAAGAGAAACTGTCTGCCTTCACATATGAAGTTCTGTTCAAGACTTTCTGCAATTTCCAAACCACCCAAACTTTACTTTTTTTTTTTTACTATACTAGTGAGCATTATGGTAAATTACTGAGAAAATATAGAATAAAATCAAATTGTGTACAAAGTGTGTCTGTGTGTTTAGGTATTTCTGTGTTTGTGTTGATCTAACCAATGTTTCCCTCCATCTTTCCAGATCCGTCGCAAGTTAATTGAGAAGGTGCTTTGACTGCCGTGACAAGTTAAGTAGAGGGAGCGGAGCCATTGTCTTTCAAATCAGCTGTCAGTGTGTTTCTGCTGTCAGCAGTTTCCCTCACTATACCTGCCTGGTTAATCATCAAGCAGCTCCAAGCTGCTAGAGATGTGAGCCCACCTTCACGCCGACACCCCCATCACAACAGGACAACATCTGATTGACAGATTAGCAAGCACCGGCGCTTTTTTTTTTTTTTTAAAGACGGGGGAAAACAAGGTGGAGATGAAGGATTGAAATTGAAGGGGACTTACGAAGGAAGGATGAGGTCAAGGAGGTGTGTGCTTGTGTGGGTAGGTATGTGGGACTGGAGGTGAACAAATCCTCTGCATGTGTGCATGGAAAGAAGCAAGTTGTGTTGTAGAAGCTTGGACAGTTTGCATGTATTTTAATCACTGAAAAGCAGAAAAGACCCAAGAACATCTGCTGGACTGTGCAGACGTGAGTTGTGGAGACCAAGCAGATCCACAGTCTTCAGTCAAATTGCCTCCCCTATTGAACATAAATGCATCTACACCCTTCTTTTGGATAAGGTTATCCCCACTCCAGTCCTCTTCCCTCATCTTATTCCCTCACATGTGCCCACTGAGGATTGATTTCAAATAGAAAAATTAATAGGAGAATAATAGCCCTGGGCATTGCTCTTTTCTGTGCACATCTCAGTCGGTCCACAGGGGTGGAGGGAAGGTGGAGTTAGATTTTTAGTATCATATCCCCTCACTTGGCTTGGTATTCTGCTGTGACACAAGTATATACACACATGCACACACACAAGTAGATATATATATGTATATATATATATAAATATATACACCCACTTGTACAACCCCACCTTCTTCCACACCTTAAAGGGCCCAACTTTCAAATATTAGCACAGTGGCTGTGTGGATTTCCCATAAATAAATAAATAAATGAGGAGGCGATGATTAGCAATTCTCCTGATAGCTATGTCAGAGTGTTTCATATTCATTTCCACTCGGAGGAGAATATTTCTGCCGAACCAGTAGTTTTGAGAACTTTTGAAGCTTAAAGGCCAAGAGGAGCGTCCTAAAACTGGTCAGATGAGCTCCTTATCCTTTTAAAGTCAGACTCAGGACAAGACTGGAACAATCAAAAGAATCCATTTGTTTTATTTTTGTTAATATAATTACTGGTCAGGAAAGTGCACATGGTCGTCATCAGAGTTGTTGCAATTTTGAAGTTTTAAAGGGCACAAAGATACACACACACACACACACACACACACGTTTCACTTCAGCTCATGCAGGACCAAGTTGTCTGCAGGTGTTATTAAATCAAAGTTGGCTTGATACTCTCAGGGTAGCAACATAAAGTGTGTGAGTGTGTGTGTGTATGTGTGTGTGTGTGCTCGTCTGGGGCAGGTTGTTGAGAGTTTAAAAGCGGAAGAGGAGTTGGTGTAGAACCAGCATTGATGTCGGGGAAGCCTGCTGGCACTTTCTGTTCAAACATTAGAGGACCGACCTGCCGAGCTGCAGCATCCGGGCATCAGGATCCTTGTTTTTCCAGTTTCTCCTGACTTTGAGGAATTTTTCGGTGAACAAACTCCCAGCGCTCTCTCCTCACACCTCATCACAGATACCTGCCTCAGCAAAGCTTGAGAAACGGACCAAGAGAGACATTTACAGCATTTTCAGTAGTTCCCGTCTGTATCTAGTCCAATTATTTAAGGTGAGACTTGCTCTGAAAGGAGTTAATCATCATAATAGTGAAATGACTTGCACAACACCCAACCAGCCTAAACTAGTCGGGAAACACTCTTCTTGTCTTTAAAGAAAATCAGCTGAGAAACAAGAGAACAAAAAGAACAAGAAGGAGTTCTCTGAGAACGGGGGCTTTGCTGAGTGTAGACTTGGACACATGCAGCTTCCAACACCTCCCAAGTGTTTGCAGAAACAAGTGGGTGATTTTTGTCAAACAGCCACTTCAACCAAACCAAGGAGCCTGAACCTCAAGGGTTCATGGGATGATGTGCTTCAACCACAGATGAGTTTTCTGAGATGCCCAGGTCAGAGTGATGGCACTTGTTACAAAACAACCCAGCGTCACCGTGCCTCCCTGTGAGCCTCTGGGTGCATGTTGCTTTAATTGCTGCCTGCAGACTCCACACACCATCTTCAGCTTTCATCAAAGAAACCACACTCTGTACTTTATGAAATTTTTATTCAATGTGTTCCCTTCTCTTCTCCCCCTGCTCTTTCTTCCTATTCTTATTCCCCACCTTCAGCTCCCCCTTCTTCCTTTTAAAATGTGCCACCAAACAGACAAGAAAGACTTCTCTCTGCCATGTTTTTCGACTCGACTTCCTTCCTGCCTGGAAGCACTCGAGTATCTCGTTAGTTCTCCCTCTGCTAACCCCACTACTCCATCTGCCAGGAGCAACAACCTGACTGTGGAAGAAATGGAAAAAAGCATATAAAGGGGTGTAGGAGGGCTTGCAACAATAAATTTGGTGGTTGAGATCCTCTACAGAGCTACATGGAAAACTGTAGTGACTATAGGAGACCTTAACGAAACAGGGGGAAAAAAAAAGATGTGAGAATTTTTCCCGGCCCTCTTACGATGAAGACAGAAAACCTTACGTTTCATCAGAAACGTCAAAGTTCATGCTCAATAATCCAGGTAAAAAATGGACTGTACTTATCTAGCACCTTTCTATCTTATCAAGACATTCAAAGCTCTTTACACTACAATCTGTGGCCTCATTCACCCATTCATACAGCACTCTACTGGATCTATACAAAGTTAACTGAAGAAATCATTCTAATCAGAGCTTTATCACATTCATACACTGATGAGACACATCAGAGGCAATGAGGGGTTCAGTGTCTTGCTCAGGGACACTTAGGCATATGACTGCTGGTGGATTTGAACCCCCAACTCTTGCATTGGAGGACGACTGCTCTAACCAGCAAACTGGTTGGTCCACTATGGGAGTGTGCTGCTTGTGGGACTCAGATTGTTTGTGGCTCCTCGGACTGATGAAGTGCTTTGGATGCAACGTCTCAACAACAAAAAAAGCAACCGTCCAGATGACCCGACTGAACTTTGCTGGGTTTCGTCAGAAAATTACCAAACTTATTGATGCACATCAGATTCACTTCACTCATTTCTAATATACAAACTAGAAAACTCCACTCTGCAGCAACGTTTTAATTCAGACGAGCAAATCCAACATTTTGACCTCGCCGTTCTTTTTAATGCTTTTGCGGACACTCCGGCAGCCATCCATCAGCAGTGAATGTTGTGATACCCCCCCCCCCCACACACACACATAAATCACACCACCTGATTTCCGGGGCCAAGGTTTAAATAATTAAAGAGCTTTATTTTTTCAGGATTTAGCACCCTCTGACAGTAGGGCTGACAAGAGAGAATGAGATATACTGAGAATGGAGAAAAGGTTATTACACATTAGAAAGACACAATTATGACATGGGGGGGGGGGGGGGGGGGGGCATCAGGAGTAAATCGTGGAACCAAAGACGAAGATAAAGGCGTTGAGGTGCTGCACTAAAGCTACTTGATCTGTATGTAAGGAACTTTATTTGCCTGTTTATAAAATAATAATTATCTGAAACATTTACACATCAACGGGAAACAACAGACACAAATTGCATTTGAAAATTAAAACAAAAACACCTAGCAAGAAAAAAAATATATTTTTCATCTTAATATGCCGCCAATTTCTGTAAGAACTCAAACTTGAACTAAAAATTAAATATGGAAGTCATACTCCTCCCCGCCCGTTCTTTTTCTTAGTGAAGACTAACACAGACACGACATGAGAATCATAAAACAGCAAGTTAAGATTTAACTTGCGTCACATTACCATCGGCCTAAAAGTGAAGCTGTTATTATTGTGGATCAGCCATTATGATTAGAACAATACAGTTCTACTATTTAGACACTTGTAACATTATCTGTATGCTTCATTTAATCAAAACCCAAATGTTAAAAACTAAACTTAGGGGAAAAAAATACACTCAGGAAGAAATACTTCACAAAACAACTGTGCTTGTGGATCTGACAGGGACAGGTGGAACTGTACTGCCCTCCTGTGGGCACATAAAAAACAACAACTGATGGTTCTTATTCACGTGTAGATGCAGAACATGAACTATTAGCCCTATGCATTGTGGAAGTCAGAAAACCAGAAGGCACAAGGACACAAGGAAAGAACATTACATTGAAGCAAACACTTGTCTCTGGTTTTATTTAACCCTCGTATTCTTTCCAGTAGAACTCTGAATAAATCAAAAACATACCTCCTCACACACAAAGACAAACCAGAAATGGCAGTTAAAAACAAAAACCAACTTCCGTTAGGTGAAGCACCTTACACAAGTAAATCCCCTTTTCCAATGAGTGTTCAAATGCTAATCAGGAGTACAGCCTTGCCAGTAGTTGGTCATTTGCTGGCACTAGTAGACACCTAGTGGTCAAACCATCAAGTATTGTCAACAGGGAGTTTCAGCACAACTTTGGAAGATTTTGGTTACATGACACTAGGCCATTATTGAATAAATGACAAACATAGTTACTAAACTAACTATAAATAAAGTGAACAGACTTTGTTGAGGGGAACAAAAGATGACCACATCAGAAACACTGTGTCACTCCTAAATCATTCAGCACGTTGTTGTTGTTTTCAAACCATCCTGCCTGATTTGTTATTTTGATGATTACACCTGGAGATTCAGATATGACACGACACCCCTGTGAAAATAATTACCCAAAGCAGTTCAGTTACACCAGATGAATGATGATACAGTGTATAGTTGTGTCTTTTTAAGACAAGTTTCTTCTTTTTCCCCCCCAAGCTCCTTATCCTGCTCGATTGTTCTTCACACTTCAGTTGTCCAGAAGAGAACGCTGTAACGCCTCCTGAATCATCGTGTTCTCGTCTGTGGAGTAATCCTGCAGAGTTATCAGCATAAGGGAAAAGGTTACCCAACATCCAAAATGACTCGCGTCATCATTTATGGATATAAAAGTAATCTAATATTGGTGTTTACTTACCACAAATGTGTCATAGGAGAAAGTGTGTCTGATCTTGAGGTGTTGGAAAAAGTCAGTGCTCCTGTAATTAGGGTCTCCCCAAGGCATTGAGGCACAAATAGGGCACACCTAAACAAAAAGAAAACCCATAAATGTGTTACTGGTCATAATGATGCTCTCCACTGGGTCCCTGTCAAATTTAGATAAAAATTCAAAATCTTACTTCGAACATACAAAGTTCTCAAAAACCTAGCTCCATCTTATATTACAGATATTACTGTTCCATATTTTCCTAACAGAGCACGTTGCTCTCAAGACTGCAGGTTTCCTTGTGGTTCCTATAGTTTCCAAAAGCAGAATGGGAGGCAGATCTTTCAGTTATCAGACTCCTCTGTTGTGGAACCAACTTCCAGTTTCTGTCCATGAGGCTGACACATTGTCCAGTTTTAAGACTGGACTCAAGTCTTTCCTTTCTGATAAATCCTATAATTAACGGTTGGCTTGGGTTTACAGAGTTATACCTTAGTTATGCTGCTATAGGCTTAGACTGCTGGAGGACAAATTGACCATATTTCTGCACTCTGCTGAGGTCTTTACTTGCTCTACTTTACCCGTTTGCATTTGTAATTATTTATATCCTTATGTGGTTTTTTTGTCTTTCCTCCAATAGAAAGTGCATCTGGACCTGTCATTCTGTGTTTGTTTCTCCTTCCTGTTCCTCTCAAGCCCCAGTCGGTGGAAGCAGATGGGCATTTCTTCCTGTTATGAGGGAGTTTTTCCTTTTCACTGCAGTCTTTGTGCTTGCTCAGGATGGGAGACTGCGATGAAGTGAAGATTTAATGTGTCTGCTGGCTTCCTTAGATAGAGAACTTTTACTAAGTGGCTTTTATAATGTATGTGATAAGAAAATGTTAAAGAAGTTTGGTACAAACACCAGCATCATTAACTTTTAAGGTGCATCATTGCGAGCCTGCTGACAGGCTGCATCACAGGGTGGTATGGGAACTGCACCAGTCAGAGCTGGAAAGCACTACAGAGGGTGGTGCAAACAGCAGAGGACATCATTGGTAGCAGTCTCCACATCATCCAGGACACCTACCACAGCTGATGTCTGTGTAAAGCATGCAGCATCATCCTGAAGGACCACACCCACCCAGCACAAGGACTCTTCCATCTACAACCCTCAGGCAGACGATACAGGAGTCTGTCATCGTGCACAAAAAGACTCAAAGACAGTTATTAGCCACAAGCTGTCGGATTACTGAACTTTGATCAATAACACTGAACTACTGACAACATTGCACTAAGCCACATCTGTGACACCTAATGTTTATTGCTGCTGCACAGTGTGGTTGTATGTAGGGCTGGGCCATATATCGTTCACGAGAATACCGGTAAAATAAGCTTGCCCGGGAAAATAAATTATATCATGATATGCTAATTTCAGGACGCAAGTACGATAGCGCTCCCCCCCCCCCCCACCCGTTGTCTCGAGGTTCTTTTTGGAGAGTATA